GAGGGAATTTAATCACAAGAAGTCCTAAAGACCTCGCTCAAATAAAAATTCAATACTTAGGAAGAGGTAAAATGCAAACTTCACCTGATTTCAAAGGTGAGAGTTTTGCTTCATACTGATGTTAAATGTAAGTGACTAGCAGATGTTGTGGAGAGTGACTTTTGTAATATAAACAAATAAGAAGTAGTGACGATCCTTTATCACCCAAACACCATGGGAATCAGCATTTTTATTTTTAATTATTGCATTATATAATTGTTTAGTCATTTGATACAATTTCACTTAATTTTATCCTTTGTATTTWTCTGTGTTGCTTATAATGAGAATTTTTCTTATTTATTTATTTTTGGAAAGCATTACAGAAAGYTTAAACTCTGCATGTAGGTCCTAGGTACTGTGATATTGTGTAACTTTTTATTTTTTCAGATATGTGATCTGGTAGTTTAGAGAGAAATCTTGTTTTTCCTGCAAACTTCAAGCCTTATAGCCTAAGACCATTATAGCTACAACTTCATCTTCTTAACAAACATTTTCTCTGCCTCCTTTTCTCCCTTTAGGTTTTTCTGTTGGAAGGCTTTCTTCAGCACAAAGCCTTTTGTCTGTATCAGTAGTTTTCTCTCAACATGAGAGAAACTCKTTCTGAACTACTGAAAAGTAGAATTTAACACCAACAGTAAACAGAGAGGTGGTCTGGACAGCTTAAAAACCTCTTAAGCAGTCTTAATCTTAAATGAGATTTAAAGGTAAAATCTGGTTTTGAGAGAGGAGATTCACACCTTTTGCTCTTTTTAWTTATTTATTTATTTATTTTTGGAATTAAACATTTCAGTTTTAATCAAACTGCCTTGCCAAATTATTCTTTTGATAATCACATTGGAAACAGTGTTTTGAACAAAAAAAAGTTCATGTTCAGCTTCATATTAAGCCTTATTAATTTCATGATTTTTCAGAGAGATACTGTGCACATTCTTGGTCTGTGCACAGCACCAGGGGTCCCYACTTTACTGAACAGAAGCACTAGCAGGAAGAGGATGTATGTCCTATTTCTTGAGGAGATTTTTCAAAAAAAGTGGTGGAAAAGAGGTGCATGCAACTGAAACTGGTAGTGGATTACCTTAGATTCCGTAGGCACCAAAGTTTTTTTTTTTTTTTTTCAGGACAGGACAAAGGAACCTGCAAAATGCTGTATTTTTGGAAATCTCCACAGAAATCAAGGCAAGATTAATTTAAGTTGAGATTCTTACCTTTCAAATCTCTGTGATGGGCACTGGAAAGCTGATATTGTGAATGCCTTTTCCTTTTAGTATTTTCATAGAATAGCACCTAAACAAAGCATCTATGAAGGAAGTAATTTCTTTACTATCACACTTATAGCTTGGAAACTGTTTTGAACAATAAAAAAAAAAAATAATTTGACTTACATCTTTCAACAATGAATATTTTAAGAATATGTTGAATCTTTACCAGAAATGTTTTAAGCAGGAGTAGGAACTGATGTTAATAGAGATGTAAGGAAAGAGGAGAAAATACTTAAGCTCAGTTCTGGCTTTCCCACCTACCTTAAAATCTTAAAGTTCATCAGAAGTTATTTCTACATTTTCCTTGTCCTTGTCTGCATGCTTTCTTACAGTTTGGGTAATGACTTTCCATGCATTGTGTATCAACATCTTTCATGAAAGAACTGAGTAATCCTGATTCAGACCTTGTAAATTCATCAGCAAAACTTACTCCAATCCTGGTACTTCTTTCAGTTCTGTATCATCATCTGTTATCTAGCTAGTCTCCATTCAATTTACAGTCCTTGTTTTGATTCCTATCTTTTCAGACTTCCACATCCAGAACTTCTGAAGAGTTTCAGGGTCAAAACAATTTTTAAATAAAATCTTTAAATTATCTTATCAAATAAAGCAATCAAGGTAGCTGGCACGTTCTGCCTCTGATAAATCCCTGCAGTGTTTTATTGCAAGTTTTCTTTCATCRTTTATTCTGGAGACTGTTGTGCTGCTGAGTCTAAATTAATTGGCTTGTAGTTGTATAGATCATTTTGTTAGCTACCTTTTCCTTCTCAATAAAATATTGCTGCTGTCAWTTATGTGATGCTTTAGCTGACCTGAAAAAATTATTCAAAACTTTTACAAGTGGATTTAGAGTTTACTATATAGTTTTTAAAAATCAGGGACAGAAATTTCCTGCTTTTTTGATGTAGATACATTTTTTTCTCTTCTGTATCAAAGGGCAAACTGTATACTCTCATTCCAATAATATGTTATCTCTTTTAATTTAGGATCAGTATAGTTCATCCTATCAGAATGAAAATGGAGAACAACTATATCTGATTTAGAAAAACATATCTAGATCATGTTAATATTGATTCTGCAATTAATGTTAGATAGTCAAGGAACCTTTTCTAATATTTCCTTTTCAAGGTCAAGCATACAATGATKTGGAGATTTCTCACTTTATTTAGAAATTTCATGACTATATTTATTTATTTTTTAAAGAACTTTAAAACTTTGTTTGTTTAGGACTGTCTAGAGAGTCTGGATCTGAATTACTGCCTCCTTATTTGAAGTTTGTGGTCTTTTCACCTTCCCTTTTCTCTCTGACTTCTATTCCCTGTCTTTGTCTCCACACAACAAGGAAAGTCTATACTCAACATGTACTCTGTTTTCTGATATGCTTTTAGTATGCTTATTTTTTTTTTTCATGCATTGATGTTTTGCTGTTTCAGGTCTAAATGATTTTTTTCCCTTTTCAGATTAGCTCAGGAGCAAATATCAAACAACTTTAGTGAAAGACAGAATTTTTCACTACAGCAAGATTGGGCTCGGAGTAGTTCTGCAAAAAGTGACTAAAGAAAGATGGACTTCTTAGGTGCTTGTCAAGGGTGAGTCACAAGCACAGTTCTATGCTTTCCTTTCCCTCCTAATTCCTGTACTTACTTTTCCTTTTCCTTTTCCTTTTAAGTCTTTATCAAAATGCAGCTTGCCTTGTTCATTTTTGTCTGACAGCAGTAAGTGGCAGACAGGTCCCCTCCTTTCCTGAGCTACAAGACTCATGGACTGCTCAGAACAGGAACAGACCTTTTACTGTAAGGATTAAAATACTCCTTTAATGGCTAAAATCCTCTTTGCGAGATCTGATTTTGCCATCCCACTTTCCTTCTGCTCTAAAGCTTCTATACATCTTCTTATCCACAGAAGTCAAAGCACTTTAGAAAGAAAGYTCTGTTATCTCCATTTTATAAATGAATAAAATAAGTCACAGAGGTTAAAATATATTGGCTAAGGACATTCAAGAAGTGAGCAAAAGAGCTAAGAATAAAATCCAGGTCTCCTGACCTCAATCCGCAGTACATAGGATCACCCTGCTTTAATCCATTGAAATCACTAAAGTKGATGATTTGTTAGGTTACTACTAAGTACAAGAAAGAATGGCAGAAACAGGCATTGAAATTCGTGCTGCTGCTTWTGTACCTACAGTACTAATTAGTTCAGCTGTAAGTAAATCCAAAAGTGCGACCTGAAAGTCCTTTTTTTAATTTACTTTTATGACCTATCACAGGTGAAAGTTTCCTAGCCAAGTATAATTTATGTGTTTTAAGTTTTACGTCTTTCCTGGATGAGTGTTGAGAACCTGTGTCACTGTTTACATCAGTCTCAGTGCACAAATTATGAATCTCCTTGCAAATGAACGAGTGTATTTTGAGCATGCCTAGGACCAGCTGCAGCCGCTGGGGTAGCACCACACAAGGAAGGCAAGACTGGGAGGACAAGACAGGCAGCTTGTGCTTTTTCTTAGCAGTCTCTGGAACTGCTCTGCCACCTCAGGCTTACGGAGCAGAGCACAAATTACTTGCTGTTTCTGTTGAAGCTGAAAATCAGATAGAAAATAGGCAAGAGGGAGCTTGACTTGGTAGTGTGACAAGTGGCGCAGGGAGGACACAGCCTGGGTTGGGGGTCACCCCAAGGAACAATCCCTATGTGTCAGGTTGTGGCTCACAATTTGCAATCAACAAGGGCGGAGAACAGGTGATTTATTGGTATTCAGTTACAGGGAGAGGGACCAGACGTCTTCTGGCCCTAGCTAAGTCTATAAGGGTAGGCTTCAGGTTATTGCTGTCCTGCTGGCTTATGAATCTTGAGATTTGGACAGCACAGATTTAGCTGCAGTTACATATGACTGTTTTCCTGGGTTTGTACTACAACCTGATGCCTGCAGCAAGAGTACAAGAGATATGGGTATAAATTCTCTCTGGAAGGGAATTAAGGTATATCATTGCAGGGGATACTGGAATAGGGCAGAGGGAAGAAGCAGCCAAATAAAAATTAAAAAAAAAAAWAAAAGAAGAAAAAAGAAAAAGAAAATGCAAGCTGTTGCTAGCAGTCTTTTCAAAGGGATGTGCCCTTCAGGCGACTGTGTTTGAATGCACAGCTGAAGTGTCCAGATGCAAGAGTGAGTTCTCAGTGGTGAATCACAGTTCACAGAGGCACCTAAAAGGAGTGGTGAGATCAAAACTGAGCTCTGCGAGCAAAGTAGCTTTTCAAAGACATCACTCTCCTCAGCATTCCCATGTAGCTCCCTGCCTGGCAGACCGGCTGTTTTGAAACACAGCTCCAGTCAGGCAGCTTAGATGTCTGACATGTATTTTGGATGCTGCTTCTGAAGTGAGGTGGCTAACTTTTAAGAGCTTTGCTGCTCATGGCACAACAGCTTTGTCCCATTTTAGATTTGACCTTATTTTTTCAGAAGYGCACTTTCAAAGAGAATGCTGGAGTATAAAGGCTAGTAAAGCCAAAAGTCTTTGACGGTCAGCAAGTAACTAAATTTTGCCAAAATTTGCAGGGATATGAATAAGAAAAGGTGAAACTTGAAGTAACTATATCAAGACAGATGCTGTTTATGCTCTTTATTTTAAAGCAGATGGGTGACCACCATTTATAAAATACAGCAAAATACACAGCTTCAGTTAGATGCAAAAAAAAAAAAAAAAAAAAAAAGCCATTACTTCAAACAACAGACTGGCTTGGCGTTGGTATGCCATCATAGTCATCTGAATAGTGTTGATATTGGTCAGTGAGGAGAGGCTGATGCAGCTCATCTTTATTTCTCTTGGCACGTACAATACATGCAGCAGCAGCAAAAATTACTGCAACGAGAACCAGTGCAGTGACTATTGCAATAGTTATCATCTCTGTGACACGGAGAGCCCGACCTACAGGACAGAAAATATGAGGAAAACTTACTGAAGGTAAACATCAAACACAAGGAAACAGTGCAGGGACAAATCAAATATCAAGCAAAACTGACATTATTCAGTGAGTCATGAAGTAAAGTCAGCAGGAGTTTTTGATGGATAATATTTGTTTCAAAACAAGAGAAAATTTCAATCGCTATTTTTACAATATAGAAGTGTGCCCTGACTGTTCTTATTCTACCTGGTTTCCAAGGGATTTGCACTCTCCCTAATACAAAATCTCAATTACAAGTGACTTGAAAAACAAACCAGAAAAAGAGAAAAAGGCATTAAAAAAGGCATCAAATTTTGTTAGAGAAATTGCAATTATGTTTACTAAATGAAATAAAAGTGTAAAGGGTAAAAAGAATGATGACATATCAAGAGATCTATCTAGGTTTGACATTTTACCTGGCCACTCAACTTCATAGCTGTAACCCAGGTTTTCTGGTGCAGTAACGAACATTTCATCATTGGTAACTGGAGGCCAAAAAGGTACCATGTTATACTGCCGGTTATGTCCGATAGGGGCATTCTCCAATGGGTATGTTGAGATATCTAAATTGGAAAGACAAATCACACTTCTGTAAATAAATATAATCAAATTCATTCATTTTTCTTTTTTTAAGGTTTCTTTTCCAACAATGAGCCACAATTTTGAGCCACTGTGTTTTAACATTTGTAACCCACTCAGAAAGGATCTTTGAAAAATCCTGCAAAGATATGGATTAATTCTCCAGTGTGGAAAAATCCAGAATGGGGAGCTCAGCACTTTCTGAAAGCTAGACTCACTAGGGATGCTTCTGTTTTTCAAAAACAACAAAAGAAAAAATCAAGTTAGTTTAAAAAATTTTGGTCTGTGTTGGATTTTCTTCCTGTGTGTAGAAAAGGAAAAGGAAAAATGCATATATGGAGAACTCTATATACTTTTTTTTTTTTTTTCTTTTTTTTTTTCCCAGTCATCTGGTCATTTGGCTTTATTATTTTACAGCAGTGATGAAGTCTTCTCTCATGCTGTTCAGGAGGGCAGCTGATTAGAACTCCAGTGGAATTTTTTTGTAATTTTATGGTGAATCAGAAGAGAGTCAGCTGAAGCAAAAAAAAAAAAAAAGAAAAAAAAGAATCCATTTTCGTAAGATGAGGCAAAAGCTTGTGACAAATCACTTAAATACTGTACGAGGATACAATTGCCTCTCTGATGGTTTGTGCATCCATGCTGCAGGTTATGGAAACTATGCAAAGAAGCTGTTATACCACAACAGCAACAACTGCTATCATAGGGGGATGGGCTGGACTCTCCTAAGAGGAGCACAATCCCTGCTTTGTGAAGACAGTGCAGAAGCCCATCCCTCCCTCTTTCTTTACCATGTCAAAAAAATACAAACAGAAACAGAGACTTTCTTCTAAATGGATGTGGAAACGGCACAACAGTGGTCAGAATGAGCTGCAAGGATGTGTGTTTAATCTCACCAGACAAGAAGAAATGTAGATACTTAGTCTGTGCAGTGACTAAACGACCATGAAGTGTCTGAAGCTCCTATAGCTACTCTATGTGCTCTACCAGACACAATGAATTTGAAGATCCTGTTTTCTTTATTCCTGGCACTTCCAGCTGAGTGTCTTCATGAAAAGCTACTTGGGAAATGGCTGTCAGTTTATGTGGGTTGAGGAAGGGAGGATACTTGTTATTATTCAGTCTTTAGTAACTTTACTAACTTCCTAACTTTACTAAAATTCCAGTCTTACTTCCTAAACTCAGGGCCAATTTGCTGTCCCGCAAGAAGTAGCTGACTTCCTGTCGCTGCAGTCACCAAGAGCTGCCCATTCCTTGTCTGTCCACAAGCATCTTACCAGCAGAATGTCTTCTCAGCCACTCGTCAAAAACAGCATCTGTAAATGTGTGCAGGAGGACAAATATGGGGTCATTTGGTGATAAGTGAGTTTGYCCTCCTGTTCCATTCAGAAAAAGATGAGCCAAGTTGTGAAGACTGCGCACTGCTGGGTCGTATTTCCCTGAGGGATCACTGTACCCTGTATGTGCAAACAAAGAGGAACACAGAAAATCACAGTTCTGTCATGTTCCGTTGCTCTGCTTAACATAACAGAGTAGCTAATTTTCTGCCTACTGGCATTTGAGAGATGTGGCTGCTATTTCCCTAGCACACATAATTTTCAGATTAAAAAAAAAAGTTTTTACAGAAGAATGCTAAGAATGCTAAGTGCAAGGTTGCTGGGATCTAACACAATGCTGGCCAATATATGCCATCTCGTAACAGGAAGTGAAGGTTTATACTTAAAACATATATCTTTCTGAGCATAACTGAAATAGCTGCCTGCATTTTCTAACTGCTGGCATAAATGTGAAGACGTTGCCCACTATCCTGAGGGGCCAGCTATTATGTTTCCACACATATCATCTCCATTTTTACTGTCAAGACACTTCATAAAGTTTTGTATGTCCTGCTTTCTCATTGCACATTTGACTCTGCTAGCACTCCACCCCTGGGAATCCTGATGTTGGGAGGTCATGATCTGAAGCATCACAAAAAGGTTTTCCTGTTTTCAAGCTCTGGCCAGAGTTTTCGGAAAGGGGTCCATACAAGAAAGTGATTAAAAATAAAGCCAAACTCCTATCAAATATGCTAAGCATTCAACATTTTCATGTATACTTAAAGGTTGGTCCAGATTCTTGATTTTGTTTGACCCCTCCTACTCTCCTGGCTTATCTGAAACTATAGACATATTTTTGTTTGCCATGCCTACCTTCCACTGTGTTACGGAAACTGTCTGTTGAATTGGAATAGAAAGGAGGAGTGTCAAAAACACCAACTTCTAAACATGAAGCCACATCCTCAGGCTCTGGGAGACGCTGTACCATAGGCCTGGCAACATTTCCAGCAGGATTTCTTCGAATGGGACCACCCTCAGTGCCTGGGGGTAAAGAGAAGAGAGAAAATAATGGTGATACAAAATAACAGGTCTGGAAGAAAACTCCCTTGGAGGTGACATTTAAACTGAAAGGACGGGTCAGATCCTTGTCAACACAAACAAGAATCTGAAAGATTCTTAAAATCTKWMAGATTTTAAGAAAGAATCTGAATCTTGGTAGTGTCCTGTGTGCTGGATCCACTGAAGCAATGATTTAAACAACATCTAGTGCTTCTCACAGAGCCTTAAGATTCTATCTGATGTAAGTGGTCTGGGAAATTTTCTGTAGTTTTCCAGTGTGATTGTTTGATGAAACCTTGGACAAAAGTTTTGGTATAACTAAGGAAAGGAATACAGGAATATAGTTGATTATGTAGGCAGCTAACTCAATACCATGCTTTTCCCCCTATCTCCATGGTGATACTAAATTAAAGCTTGACAATTATGAATATATGAGGGTATCCTGGGAATTTTAGTTCTTAGAGCTCTTTGCTAGCATTCATATTGCTAGCAGAGCTCTTCATATTCAAAACCCGCTACTCATAGTTAACACAGCTGATGTTATCTTCTCTCTTCTGGAGCAGATATCATAAAGGTGATAAATGGTTGGAAGAAAACTTAAGCTTCAGTTAAGAACTCTYGTTACCAGATTTAAATATTTATGGCACAAAAGATATATAGATATTGCTAAAGAAGGAAAGCCAAAGTTTTTAGCTCTTCCTCTGCTGCAAATTTCAGATCAGATATTTGACTGCATGGTGCCTTGGTACAAGATGGATCAAAATTTGCCCTGTCTTGGAAGACTGAAATGTGAAAATTTAAAGACCACTTTAAGACTTTTTGGCTTGAACCATTGTGTTCTAATGTACTATACTTACATATTATTAGAAAAAACTTCTCCCTAAATACCTGTGAGCAGTTATACTTACTGTTGCAGATGGTTCCCAATGTGTCATAGTCTTCTATGTTTTCACACAACACTCGCCACTGAGAGAAGATGGAGTTCTGACTGATAAGAGAGACATCAAAGTTGCTTCTGGCTCCCATCAAGTCATCAGAGCAGATATCACAGGTATTTTGCCCTGTTGCAAAGTTCCAGTAGGGCAATCCAAAAGTAGGGTCCTGCAGCATATTCTAAAGCATATAAGCATGGTGTTATAGGTCCTTCCCCATTTCAGTTTACTGCTGAAATGATTTTGAAAAACAGTTAAATACATCCTATTAAGAATCAGATGGAGTCTTTTCTCACAGAGGGGAGCAAATGTATAGAAAAAAATGTGGAATCCGTTAAAAAAGTTCTTTGTAGTTTTTCATTTTTATGCCTTTGACCATTCAGCAGAAGTGAGAATCAAACTCTTGAGCTGAGCGATGGACTCCCCTCATTAATAATATCATATCACTTAATACTAATATAAATTTTTTCCTTTTTTTTTCTATCACCAGTCAATATCAGCAGCATTTGTATCACACAGGTTAATTTAGCAAGACAGTTGCTCAATGACTGAAAAGATGAGATGATAAAGAAAAAGAAAATTGGCCCTTCAAATTATTATTGTTGTAACTAAACAATTCTGGAGTATCTTCTGATTTCCAATGTTTACAAACCAGGATTTGCTGGCCAAAAAAAATTAACTAATTATCTAGTTTACTAACATCAACAGGAATATTTATTAAGCTACAAAGAGTTAGAAGTCCTCAGGGCTTCCATTTAAAGAAATGTTCTTAATGTTTGTGGAAATTTTGGTTTTGAAGGGAATTTGCCCTGTCTGAGCTGGAATTAATGCCATTAAAAGCAATGGAAATACTTCAGTGATTTCAAGGAATATTTAATTGCAGTCTTCCAAACTTACTCTCTCTAAATTGAATGACAGTCAATAAGTAATCCATTTATTTTATGAATAGACCCACACATGGAAGGGGGAGCTGCTGGTTTATAGAATAAAATTTCATAAATCACTTTTTTTTTTCTTGGATCAGTCACACCTGTGAATAAAATGTGATTCTGAATCCACAAGCCACATCTGTATGACTTTTCTTTAAAACCTGAGTTGATTGGTCTAGCTTAGACAAGAGTCCAATTAACTATTTTCTGTGAAAATGTTTAAAATGTGTTCCAAATTTTAAAGATGACTTAGATTAGGTTTATGCTTTCAATTAAAATATTATGATTAGTTAAAAAGTTAAAATATTAACTTTTTATATTTTTTATTATTAACTATATTAAATAATATAAAGTTAAAATATTATGATTATCATGTCTATAGTAATGACTGTGTAAGACATAAAACAACTCTATTCATTTTATTACAGTTAATGAGACAGTGAAATTGAATAGAAATTATTTTAACGTTGGAAAGACCTGATTTTTTTTTCTCTATTTGAATACGGGGAAGAAAGATATTTTAACTGTACGAAGCACAATATGAACACATGGTTCAATGTTAATGCAAACATTACCTGCATATCTCTCTCCAGCTGCAACAGGTGGTACCTATGCCAAGTGACGAAAGCTGGTCCCTCATGAGAGAAATCAACTCCAAAACTCTGCTGCCCTGAACCAAGGAAAGTCTTCCTCACAGAATAATAATGGGACCACACAAAGTAGTTATATATGGTGATATTCTCAAACTGTGGTGTGTTGCCATCTGGTCCGAGTATTTCCTCACGTCTCCTTGTGGCTATAACAATGTCAGGGTGAACTGTCACCTTGGCTTGGTGCAAGGCATTCACAAAGCGCCTCCTTTCCTCTGTGCTGAGGTCCAAAAGATTCCTCCTGACTGTGAGGATACAGAATAAGTTAATAAAGCAATAGCTGCTCCAGTCTGATATCTGGTATATCTATTCCTATTAATTTTGAGTGAGTCTCTTTTTCCTCAGGCACATTTCCAGGTTTCATTGGGGCAATTCATTGAGAACTGAGTAAGAATAGAAAATGTCATTTATTGTCAGCAAGGATGAGCAGGATAAAAATAAAACTCTACACCCTGAGTGATTTTAACACTCAGTTTTTTGCAGATTATCCTTTCTTCCTTTCAGGGAAGTAATCAAAAAGAATGGCTCTTGGTCACAGAAATCCTGTAGAAGTTTGTTTAAGATACTTAATGTTTCCTGAGGTAACACTTTAAGAAGAAAAGAATATCATATATCAATCTATATCTAAAAACAAACTATATCCTTGACAGTTCAGTGAAGACATTCGTAAAAGAGTGCTACTGCTTGAATCCTTGTATAGAAATGACGAATTCACTAGTGAATTACGAATTTCATGCTTAATAGCATCACTCCTGAAAGACATTACCTGTTATTATTAACTGTAGCCACGTCTTACTCATCTTAAGCAGCTTTACAATATCATCATTCAAAATTTACAGATGGAGAAAGTCATGAACAAGGAAGGAAACTAACTTATTGAAATATCAATGTACATGAAAAAAGAACAGAGTCCATCGCACCTTAGTCCCAGTACAGTACTCTGTCATCTGGACGAGGAAGATTTCAAGCCAAATTAGGCTAAGCCATGGATGAAAACTCTCACASCTATCCTTCAACATGCACTCATTATCAATACCAAAAATACTGTCAAAGCCATAATCTGCCAGGTAAATGATGGATTCTGTTGTTACAAGAAGCAACAGGTCTCTAGCATGAATTAGCACAAAGAATAAAAGCAAATTATATTTTATTATATAAAGCAAAGTTGATATTTTGAATTCACTGTAGTTAAGGGAAACACTTGCCAAAAGCCTGAACTTCACCCAGGAATTCTGTGTCTTGATTCGTATGACTTTGTCTTGTTGCAGGACTGCCGTCACTGTGGGTTTGTTGTTGTTACTGTTGTTTTAAGTCATAATGTCCTGAAAATAGCCTCTTGATATTGCCTTGTGTAGGCAGCTTAGCTTTTAAATTTTCATAATTTCCTTAGCATTTTTTTGAGTAGTTAAGAATTTAGTAAGTGAGAGTCATAAAAAGTGATCTTGTGTGCCCCAGAAATTGGCTAAAACTGCTTCTTCCGATCCTCGAATTTACTTCATAATCTTCTGTGTATTCAAGTTTCTTTCTTGGTATTTTTCAGAGTTCTACCCATTGTCAACAAGAACAGGACGGGTCAGCAGAGGGTGAAACCTGACATATCTGATACAATTCATGAGTAGTATTTTCTGCTTTCTAGTCTGCTTCTGAGAGCTCAACAGATGAATAAAGTGCCAAGACTTTTCAGCACACGCCAGTAAGTGGGTTTTTAGAAATTCAGTGTAAAGATGTTGAATTGTTAATGCTTACTTTGCTAATCTTTGCTGGAACATGTATGTAGCATTACTTATCTAGTCAAAATAATGAGTGCTGACTTTTTTTTCTGCAAGAGTCAATCTGTTAATACTAGTTACCTGCTGCTTCTCATGCCAAAATAATCCATCATTCACTTAAGGGATTATGGATTTCGTAGGCTTTCAATAACACATTTAAACTTTCCCTAATAAACACTGAAATCTTACTCATTCAARTGACTTCGGCTGAAGGAAAAGGGATACATTCTCAAACACTTTTGTCTTTTTCAATTTACTGACAATATTCAGCATTTATCCATGTCCAGAATAAATGGACTTCATGACCATTTCCAATATTTCTAGATATTTGTATACTGGTTTTCTGGATATCAGAGCTGCAACCCACCACTGCCAAGGGTCACTTTCTGACGTCCTTACCTATGTTGGTGGGCTGGCTGCAGGTAGGTCCGCTCCAGCCGGGGCGGCACGAGCCGCAGTTGTAGCCGGAGAAGTTGCCGCTGCACCGGCACGTCTGGTTGAAGAAGCGCAGGGGCCACTGCTCGCGGTCATCCCGCCCGTCGTGGATGTACTGCGGGCCGTGGGGACGCGAGTCGGCCGTCACCGGCACGCACTGCCCTCTCCCTGTGGCCACGCCACAGCGGTCCGAGCCTGGCCCAAACACYGGGAAATAGTCCGGGCAGCACGCGCCGCTCCGCAGGGCCTCGGCCGTGGCACACTGGCGAGGGAACTGGGCTCCCGCGGGGCTCAACAGCAGCGGCAGGAAGAGGAGAAGCAGCGTGGGCAATGGCATGGTCACTGCTGCCCGGAGCCAGGGTCAGCGCGCCGCGTCTCCCGCCTTGGCACAGGCCGCACCTCCGGCTAGCCTAAGGGAAAGAGAAAGAGGGAGAGGGTAGCAGCGAACCACCGGACTGGCACCCCATCCTCCCAGCCCGCTCCTTGTCCCWGTGGTCTAGCTTGGGTTGCCGCTCTGGCAACAGACACCTCCCGTCTTTCCTTTCTCCATGGTCRTAGCCACCTGCAGCTCTACCTGTGCGTTGACCTCTCTAAGTTTCTGTTCTATTGTACCGCTACCAGGCTGATTTACCTCACCGTCACAAACACTAATACCATCTAAGGCACCCCTCTAAGTACTTCAATCTAWTTTTTTCTTCCTCTTATGCCTTTCTCTTCTGCATTTATCAACCATGTACTTGGCATTTTCCCCTGCCGTGTCTCTGCAATGCTCCTAGTGCTAGCCCCACTGAAGAGCAAAACTGCAAATCCCCCTGCACTGCCACTACTTGCTACTTCTGGTACCTCTGCTCTGCTCAGGTCCTGTTCTATCTCTGCATGTTCCACAGCTCTGCCTATCCCCAAATAAGCAGTGCTAATTTCTTTCCTGTTTCAGTCTGCTTACTAATCCTCGTTCTACCAACACAGTATGTCTTGGCCTCACCCTCCGTCTCCTACTAATCCCCTTTCTACTTCAGTGCATTTCCCTGGAATTTAAGTACTCCAGCAGCACATGATTTCTTTCATGCTTATCTCCTTGTGATTTTACAAGTTTTAGCAAAGGTCAGAGACAAGTACTTGAATTCAAAACAGAACAAATGTGATGGTGGTTTTTTTTATTATTGCAAAGAAAGGTTCACTTGAAAACAGATGAAGACCTCTGGGGAAGTTCACTTTTAGCTTACTTTTTTGAGTACTTCAAACAGTATTCTCAAGAGCAGGCCAAATTAAAAAACAAGATACGTTATTCAAAAAATGGAAAGTTCCACTCTTAAAGTTTCTTCTTAACTATTTGTTCTGATAAACAAAAGACAACAATGATATTGAATTGTCCTAAAATGCTAAATTGTGAAGCAGTGCGGAAAAAAAAAGAAAAAGAAAAAGAAAAAAAGTCTCTGAGTGGACAAAATTTTTCTCTATTCTTTCCAGGAGGTAATAACACTGAGTAAAAATGTTCTTACTTAATCACTTGTTCTCATTCAGATCCTCATTTTGTCCCCAAGCATGGTTTCAGCAAATAGAAGATGTTTTGCCAAAAAAGTCTGAAACTTAACTGGCTATTAACACAATACATTAACACAATTTTTCGGAAATTATGCACACATCAGTTGCATGCAGTTATGCACACATGCAGTACAAATTTTCCCCTATCACATAATAAAGTAAACCTGGCTGTTAAAGAGTCTGAAACTAACTCGCACTTCAAAAAATGGTGCAGGTTTGAACTATGAATAATCAGCACTGCACAGCAAAATCATAATAAGCTTAGGAGGGATAAATCCTGCTCCTTAGACACGGCAACAATTAAAAAAAAAAAAAAGACAGAAATATTGCTTGGGATGGGATTGCCTGGCACCAGAAAACTTGGCTTTGTAATGGCAGACATAGCATCAGCCTGCTGTAAAACCTTCTCCATTGCTGGGAATTCTCCCATTCTCCCATCTCCTGGGAATGTTTTTCAGCAGACTCCTAGAGCCATGTAGCTGGATGCTATTTCTATTTTGTGGCCCCAACTGCTCCTTTGGGGATCCTGTTGGAAAACCTGTTGCACAGTTTTGGGGTGTACAAAGTTTGGGGTGTACAATTACAATCCCTTTTATAGCCTTTCTTCTGATATTTCTACCTTTAGAGACACCTGCTGCCCTACAGTACTGGAGGGTATTTGACTTTGTAGATTATCTCACTGTGATGCATCTGTATTTCACTGGCTGTGTTTAGTAAGGGTTTGCATGCATAAACAAGGCTTTAAGGAAAAAGTCAGCATGTGAATCTCTAGCTTGTTAATTTCTTGTGCAGACCAAAAGCTCTACAAAGACWGCTAGTTAACATGCTAGCCATCCACAACCAGTATGCCTCATTGTCCTTACGCAGAGATTTCCTCTTGATTGTTCTAATAATAAGCAGACCTCTCTACAGCCCCATGGATTATAGCAGCTGTCTATTATTCAGTCTGCTAGAGAACGTCATGAAAATATAGGTAATTTTTTTTTGTCTCTGAAAGCCTGTGAAAACTGATGAGACAATTATTTCCTGCCGCCTTCTACTAATTGTGCAGTCTACCTTCGTTCCCAAGGACCTAAGTTATACCATTTAGCAAGTGCCCAAGTCTCATAACTTCTTTAACTACAGTGCTGCCTTACAGCTACCCTACTGCCCAATCTTAAGACACATGGAGTCCTAGCAAAACTACATTTTATAAGTGTAAAGTACACAGGAAGGTTCTTTTTTAGTGTTATTGCTGTTATTTGTACATCACCTGTATTTTAAGGACACTCCTGTTGTAAATGCTAATAAAAASAAAAGACTAGAGAGGTCAATTGTATGAATTTGGCAATAGATGAAGTTATCAATATGCAACCATGGTTTTCTGAAATGCAAGTAAACTGTGCTTGTCTTGAGATCAGGAGAGTTTGGATGCCAATGGCCAAAAGTTCAGATTTGCTTTAGAGATTTACATCACCTGCAGACCTAACCTAATTCAGCTTCTTTTTTTGTTGATGTTGGTTTTTACTGTGTTTTGTTTCTCTTTTTCCTTATAAATATTCTCATTTGCCAGTATTTTCACAAAATAAGCCAATTCACACAAGGAGATTTGAATTATTTTGTATTTTATTTAGTTTTCTATCTCCTCCCAGTAGAAGCAAATCATGCTGTTGTTTTTAAAAATGAACTAAGTGTAACCAACGGTGAAAAGAGAACTCACGCAAATGAGTTAGGACCATCCTTCYTCTTCCTGTAACTAAGTACTTTACTCAGAAAAAAATATTTAGGAAAATTGGGRCTCTGTATGAATTCAGTTGTTGTATGTGCTCTTTCTTTGTAAAAAAACAGTTAGAACATATTCCCTCTTAACCATGTCAGAATCTGAAAGTGAAAACATCTTTTTCCTAAAGAAAACTACACATTATATAATAAAACAAATAATTGTCAATCTTAGTTTATAAGGTTCTAAAAATACTAAAAAGAAGTCTTGACTGTGAGAGTGACAGAGCCCTGGAACAGGCTGCCCAGAGAGGTTGTGGAGTCTCCTTCTTTGGAGATCTTTAAAACCCGCTTGGAYGCAGCCCTGTGCCACGTGCTCTAGGTGACCCCGCGTGAGCAGGGCGGGTTGGACTAGATGACCTCTGAGGTCCCTTCCAACCTTAAGCATTCTATGATTCTATGAAAATCCTTTTTTTTWAAAAAGAATTAATTTATTTGGAGAAAAATTTTCGTGATAGCTGGATATCAAACTGTCATTTCTCTGAAGATGACACGTTTTCAGTCTTTCATAAATACATTGGGMTTATTTTTACAATAATTCACTTTTGCTTTGCTTTGCTAGCTACTACATTTAAACTATATTTCATTAAAATTCAGTTAAAAAAAGGTTGTAGAAATTTCAGTTGAATTGTCAGGAAAAGAATACTGAAGAAAGGGATAATTATGCTGATTATCTTTCAAACCATACTAGAGTATTTGATGATTTTCTAGATTTGGCAAATGTACTTGATTTTACCAGTGGATAGTACTTGTTTTTCACCTAACATTGATCTTTTAGTGATGGCTTTCACTACAGCCCTGTCTRAACAAGGGTTCAGACCTGGAAGGATACTTCCCAGCTGGCCTGGCCCCAGTACTGACAGACTGACAGTACCCGGTACTGACAGACTTGCTGGGTCTATGCTTCACTTGAGAGGAGTGGGACTACAAGTAGAGTGTCATAAGATAGAGCATGCCACAGGATAACAATTTTTTTGATGTATAAATTTATTTTGGTAAGATAAAGAAATGTAAACTTTTATGTGAAATGAAGTAGGAAGTCTTGGACCCCTCTAACTACAGGCCTCCAACTGGACTCTGCACCACTGATCACAACTCTCTGAGCTCTGCCATTCATTCAGTCCTCAGTCCACCCCACCATCCACTCCTCTATCCCTCCCACATCTCCGAAGCTTGCCCAGGAGGATGCTGTGAGGGACGGTGTCAAAACCCTTGCTGAAATACAGACAGATGACATCCACCGCTCTGCCCTCATCTACTCAGCCAGTCATTTCATTGCAGAAAGTTATTGGATTACTTAAGCATGATTTCTCCTTGGTGAATCCATACTGACTATTCCTGAGTACCTTCTTGTCCTGCACATGTTTGGAGACAGCAGTCAGGATGGACTGTTCCATCACTTTTCCAGGGATGGCAGTGAGATTGACTGGCCTGTAGTTGTCAAGGTCCTTCTTGCCATTTTTGAAGACTGGCTTTCTTCCAGTCCTCAGGCACCTTCCTCATTCTCCAGGACCTTTTGAAGAAGATGGAGGGTGGCTTAGCTATAGCTATATATAGCTATATATAGCTATAGCTATAGCTTAGCTATAACATCCATGCACTTGGGTGCATGCCATTAGGGCCCATGGATTTGTGGGTATCAAGTTTACCTAAGTGCTCTCTAACAGAATCTCCCTCTGCCAATTACAAGTCTTCCTGTCTTCAGGCTTCTTCTAGGGTCTGGGATTCCAGGATTGCTGCCCTTGGCAAACACTGAAGCAAACATTCAGTAAGGCTTTCAGGTATTCGGTAACTCTGCTTTTTCTGTGTCTTTTGTAGCCAGGGCACCCACCCCATTCACCAGGAGACCCACATTTTCCCTTTCCCACATCTTCCTTTTGCCACTGTTTTATTTGAAGAAGCTCTTCTGCCACTGATTTATTTGAAGAAGCTCTTCTTGTTATCTTTAACAAGCCTTGCCAGCTTTAAATCCAAATGTGCCTTAGCTTTCCTAGTATACTTGCATTATCTGAACATTTCTTTATTCTTCCCAAGGGATCT